TGCCAGCTATAAAAGATCATTACAGGATGATTTGCATCGCTATAGGCAGAAAAAGTTATTGAAAGCAGCTCAAAAGTGTGAAGAATTGCCGTCAGGATCTCTGCGACTATAATGTTCCGTTATCCACCCTCATGAACGATGACATGGAAATGATGACGGAAAAGTTCAGTGTCAATCTTTTTCACGCCACAACCACCGTCTTGGACGCCGAAATCCTTGTTGGAAAAAATCGCTTGGGATTCTACCCTCTGACGTTTGAGTTGAGATAGAAAGCACAAAAAAGGGCACAGCTCCAGGAACCGATATTATCACCGCCGACTTCCTTAGGGGTGGTGGCGAAGAAGTACACATATATTTCGTAACCTACATGACATTTTAACCTCAGCAGAAGAAAAACCCACAACAGTGGACATCGTGCACAGAAATCCTATCTAAGAACGGTGACCGAAGGGATCTTTGTAGCTACCGTCCGATATACTTGAGTGTATTCCAAAAGCTCTTCATGAAGATTATCCTACCGCGTATATCATGCCTTCCGGGTGAAGCACAACCATTTGAGCAAGCAGGACTCTGGCAAAGACCTTGGTACATGGATCACATCCAAACCGTGTCCAGGGTCATAGATGTCTGTCGGTAGCACCCACCACTTGTTCCTTGTCTTAACCTTTATCGATTGCGAGGAAGCGTTTGACACAATGCAATCCTTTCACCTCTCGTCGACCAAGGAGTGAACTCTTCCTTTACGCAAAGACCAGCAACTGTTATCGGAACTACACCACAAATATACAGCCTTTCCATCTACCGCTTCCCATATCCATAGGAAAAGAGGTACAAGAGGACAGAATATCGCTGAAGGTGTCTCTTGCCGCACTGCAGTGGATGACGATGTTACTTGACTGACACGAAAAAGGCACACGTATTGATGGTAAATTCCTGTCGAATCTTCGTTTCACTGACGACATCGTCATGTTCTTGAGAAGTACTAGTGGAGTAGAGACCATGCTAACCCACTCCATGAAGAAGCCACGGTGTGATGGCGAACAAATCGAATTGAAATATTCTCTGATTACAGAAACTACCTCGAGCGTACATCTTCGGCGTTCAGTGAACATGGAAAACAACATTAAAGAGGAATTAGAAAAAGGAGAACAACTTTGACCACATTCGATCCTCTTAAAAAAGCCACCGACTAACTGAAAGACCAAAAATCAGTGCTCACCTTGTCGATTCAATAGTGCCCCAGCCCTCTGTTATACAACAGAAACGTGTGGTGATACTTCAACCACGTCAGGAAATCTGGGCACCACCCACAGAGGGTTTGAACGACGTCCTCTGCAATTTAACAGGCACTTGCAACATCTAGCCAGAATGTGCAGCTCATACCTTTGAAATCTTTTCCATTTTCCGGGTACAGGACAATACTTGTCAAACGCCGTCTTGGAAGACTACCAAAATGATGGGTGGACATATTCGTGACTATCGTCAACCATCTATATTGGTGGATGGAAACGATTTTACGGATTGGGAATGGGTATCGCAGACGTCACCATGTTCGAAGCAGGCCACCATGGATGACAACTGTGGGAAATGATTGGAAATTAAGCTAAGGCCCGCACCACTAAGTGAATACGACCATCCATGTATCCAAATAAATAATATTGGGAAGAAAAGAAACTTTTGGCCAAGAATATGATCCAGAGAATGACCCATTTGAACAGCATGCGTAACAACAACAGGAAAAAAAACAGCCACATAGGTCGTCCAAAACAGAAGCTGGAATGATGCAAATAAAATGACAACAAAACCATTACAGTTATGAAGATCCTCAAGCACAGAAACACTTAAAAAATACTTTGATGTCCAATGATGTAAAAAAGGCCTTCTCACCAACTTCAAAGCCCTTGGTTGGCTAAGACCAATCAAAATTATTGGTGGAGACAAGCAACTGAGTGGATTCCTATTCTTTATTTGGTAGGCACATCATCCAGTAGCAGTGTTTTCCCTGCTTAATCAACTCGGTTGAATGATAAAGGCCATACGCATTGATAGCAAGCTTCCACTAAGCCATCGTTTTGACTGCGACGTCGTCATCTTCTCGAAAAGTATCAGCGAAGCAACAACAATGCTTGAAGAGCTCAACGAGGCGGTAAGGAAGGAACAGATACTTATTTACTTGGACGGCCCATCTCCACCGGTGGTGCTATCCTCGGCACAATTTCCATTCGTTTCTATCTGGCACAGTCGTCATCCACAGGGGTGGTGAGCTTCGAATATAGTGACCGACGTTCGCCAGACCCATTCCGAATTCCTAAAATCGTTTCCTTCTGCGAATGCAGACGGTTAATGTGAGCTACGAATCCATGAAAAACGTTAGAATCACGTCCACCCATCGTTTGGGTGTTGTTCGAAGAGAACGCTTGCATTGTCTTGGAATCCATTCCACTGTTCTTTTCGTCCATTTGTCAATTGTTTTTCTTATCATGTGAGCGGCACTTCGGCGTTTCGCCATCGATATAAACGGCATAGGTTACGAAGATGAGTCGCGCATTCCAGTTAGACGTTGTGAGTCCCAGGTAAATTTCAGAGGACATCGTTTAATATCTCATTTCTCAAAATTACGCTTCTCGCCTTTGGAAGTCGTATGACACGACCTTCTGAGATACAGGATGTAATGCCATTATGAAGTTTTCTGTTCTATAAATTCTCCAGTAAAGGAAAAGTGACTGAAATAACTCGTACTCGGGCTTTTTAATGCTTGTCATAACTTTGTAATTGCCATCACGTTGTAAAATTCACCTGTAGGTTACCAGAAAAGTCAGGTCAATTCATCCTGTCTCACCCGCTATAGAAGCAAATATATCATTTTCAGACCGCCACCCGTCCCAAGTTCTGAAGCACCACATGGACGACAAGAAGCTCCACGATTACGACAGAAGTGCCCTACTGAACTTCTGCGCTTTTTGGATGAACGGTATCGAGGAGGAACTTAAAAAGTAGCATACTATCTCTGACAATGGTGGTAAACATAGCGCTGCCGAAAGCTGCGCTCCAAGTAAATAACCTTTTTTCTTTTTTTTTCGCTATCATGTTTTAATCTTAACCTTTTTATTTGCTGCCTATTCTTTTTAACGGCAGAGTATTTTGCGAAATATAACTACTATAATGCTGAAATATTTGCAAAACTCCGGACCCCAGGTGTCTGCTGTGGGGAACGAACGCGCTATTGACCTTTCCGAGGAGTAACGCGTTCACCACCACACCATGTGGGTCCTTCGTTTCGCCTATTTCTCAGCTAGTTCTATCGATCTCTTGCCATCAGCAATTACCCGTCAACGGGATTGATATGGGGAGCCTCAAATCGGCATTGGTGAACGCATTACTCTCCGGAAAGGACAATAGCGCGTTCGTTCCCCACCGCAGACACCTGGGGTCCGGAGTTTTGCAAATATTTCAGCATTATAGTACTTATATCATATTTTATTTCGGCTCCTGTTTCAAGGTTTTCGTTCTCGTTATAAACGTCACTGAATGTTGGTCGGATCTATTTTCCCAAGGATATTAAAGCATAAATTATGCTCTATCCTAACCATCAGCCGATTACGGATAAAAATGAAACAGAACCCATACGCCAATGTGCCGGCCCTCTAACGACGGTTTCGAGAGAAAGAAACGAACGGAGGAAGTGAAGGGACCCGCACCACATGTGCAGACTAGTCGTCCAAAGATCTATGAAAGTGGGATTATCTCAACAATCAATTCCTTTTGGTGATCGATTAAGTCAAAACAGCGCCAGTACCACTATCAGTGTTTGTAGTCGCCTAATTCATTCTGTTTGAGATTCTTGCTTGCGTTTGACATCTGCGGAATCCAATAACTAACGGCTCTTCTCCACCAGTTGCCGTTCAGACGCATTACGCGTTTTTCAAAATTCAAAATTCTGCAGTGAATAACGGCTCCCTTGGGTCGTTCACGTAGATTCGAACACTGGATTCCCAAACTCACTTTCGTGAGAAATGATCATCGCAAACACTACTCCCTCGACTGCTCGTTCGATTATTTCGCATTACGCCTCGCATGTGTCGCGGTCAGGTTTGTGACAGACACATTAAGGCAGAGAGAACTGTAGAGTGCAAAAGGTAAGAGCGGAGTCCAGTGACCGTTGTCTTTTTCACTACATCTTTGATGCTCCAGAAAGCTTCCCATTTCACTCGCTCTCCGCTGCCCAGTATTTAAACAAAGACGTTCACAATATTTATTTCTCGATCCACACATAGTGGAAGCGTTCGGAAATATTCATCTTGTTGAGCGGGAATAGGACAACATATATAAATTCGTTCCACATTAATATTGCTTACATAAAATCCAACCAAAAACCAACTTTGCTAAACACGCTGTCGAAATCAACCCACTATATGTTCTGATGAAATATGGACGAGATAAATACTGACGTCATCATGAACGAATTACACACAATGCCTCTATTGATTGAAACCACTAATGAACGGAAAGGCTAATAAGAATAACTGGGGTCCCTACAACTCTTTTCTGCTAACCAATAATAAATATTTTAACCATAAGAGGAACCCATATACATGGCAAACGAAATGAAATGCACGTGTGAAGAAATACGTGTACCTAATTCTGAAATGTGGTGCATCAGTGACGAGATCTGGCAAGCAACAGACGAAACAGTACTCCTACATAACGAAGTGAAATGACCAACAATGTAAATTGTCTCCATACCTCAAAAACCACATCAGTGTATACCAATACTTACATGCCATACTCGTAGTTAAACGATATATTCACGGAGAAACCGCTAAATGGTTGCAAAGATAGCTAAGCATTATATCGTAGTTTCCTAAGATCTCCTTGGTTGACTAACAGTTCATTTGCTTCCTGGATGCTATTAACCACAACATGCTTCTCCCTTCTGTAACAATGCATAGTCTGACAACACAACGAACCAACTTGTACTACATTATTAAGTGAAAAGAAACTTACAGATTGGCCACATAAACACTGTGTCCTCTCTTCGCACAACGGTCTGCAACGATTAGTGGAACTGGAAGTGAAACCGTTGCTGTGACGATTTCGTGTAAGTAGCAGAGACCATAAGTAATCCCCTCAATAGCGTCAAGTGAGATCTGAGAGTTGTCAGCAACAAGCGAGTATTTGGGTGTTTTTGCAGTTCCCTATAAGATTACATCATTTGCATGCATAAGCGGGCAGGAAAGCAAAAACAGCAAGAAAGCCTATAATACAGTTTTTCCTCTAATTTTTTTCTATCAAATTTGTAATCAACCTGGAATGCGGAATGCGCGTTAAGATAAAACTCGTTTATCACTGGAGACACAATTACTGTGTCTACAACGGTCCCACCAGGAATGTTTTGGTCAGCTGCACGTTTACCCACAATGTTCTGAAATTAAAAAAGTGTGGCCGAAATTCATAATTATGTAAATCTATTCCAAAAATAATCATTCCAACCGATTTATATATGCGTTCGTTATGGTCCTTTGACACCACTAAAGCTGTGACCTTTAGCACATTTTGTAGCGATAGACAAGATATACCGGTGTAGACTGCACGCATGTATATGTCAGATATCTTAAACCACAAAAACGTAGATGAGTGCTATGAGGACTACCAAATTGCAGCCTACCATACTGAACTGCCCTTCCGATATCCCAGAAAAGTAGAAGATTATGTGGTGCAAAGTAACACGGGTTGTCATTCGATGTCTTTTGATAATTTCAATGACAATCTCTGCCAATTTCGAACCTATCATCTGCAATACCAACTCCTACATAAGAATCGATGTTATCGATTTTTGCTATATAATTTAGAATAGAATATAATATAATAGAACATAATAGATATAAGACAACTCACATCACTTTGACGTGGTTCAACGTAGACGTAGTCGCCCATATATTGCTGAGGGTTGCTACTACAATTAGCTCCCCAGCCAAGGACTGAGGGCATCTAAACAGTACACTTTAGAACAGCAGAATAACATCACAGAACCAAGTCATTTAACACGAAAGAAACCCTATGCCTTACCTTATTGGTCGCCCCACGTGCAATTTCCATCCTTGAAAGCGCCGATGGATTTGAAATCTCAAATCCAACGAAGAGTACACCATTGTCGGAAAGCCAGTTTCTTACAACAGAAAAAATAATTTCAGCAAAAGAACACCTTTTATTTCCAAAATGAGCCACGAGTTTGGTACCAAAACTTTCATTCGGCTAACGTTTCGGCGCCCTCCCCTTCTTCACAGCCACACTGATCGGAGTCGATGGTCCCTTGCCGGTCGTTGTTGTGATGTGGGTGTTCGTTGTTCGCATCGAGTCGAATCCATTGGAGGTAGTATCGTCCAAATGGAGAACTTCACTCGGCGCTTCCCTTTTACACAGGAGGCTATTGCTGCCACCCAATATGATCCACTTTCTGGTGGGAAATGAGTCCTGTAGCAGTCGGTACTTCATATGCTGGCACGTTGTTTGGTAATACCTTCAGTTTCCAGGCAATATAAAAGCTTTTGTACCAACCTCGTTTCAGCTCAGTCATGTAGAGAATTACGGATTGAAGTTGCCAAGTTAGTGAAAGTCGTTTTGAGATATTACAGTAATATAGAATTTAAGTTCCAGAAACAAACTTACTTATCGCTAAGTCCCGAATCCAAAACGATATTATAATTTACACCTCCAATTTTCTGATTAATCTAAATACAATATTGTTTAACTATATACACCCCAGTGTAAACTTATAAGGTAATGAAACCGCAATAAACACACGACCTTTGAAATCACATTATCAAGTGTTTGATTCTGATTTTTGAGCACTACAGCATTAACTGTCCCAGCCTTGACCTCTTGCGATACGATTTGATAATGCACTTCGAGAAGCTTGATTGTGTCTAGAATATCAATGTCTTAATTTCCACTTACTGCTTATTCTTTTTTCATGGCATGCTGCTAGTAAAATGCCACCTCATGAGCCGAAGGATGATGAGCTATGAAGAAAACTCGCAACCTCAGGTGAACTTCGAACGTGGGATTACCCTTGTCGGAAGCCTACGCGCTATCCACTATACCAACCGAGGTCCTTGCTTTGACTTTCGCTAAGCCATTTTTTTTACACAGGAATGAAGCGAGGAGCAGAAATCGCATTAAATACAGTTAGAATGAAGCTGCAGTCGAAATCACGTTGGTAGGTAATTGCTGATAACACCAAAACGGTAAAAACATGGTTGGGAGAAAAGCAAAGCAAGTGTCTCGTCTAGTGCGGTGGATAGTGCGTCAGTCCACGGTGAGGGTAATTTCGGATTCGAAGCCCAGCAGATGTTTCAAGTTTTCCTCATATCTCAGCATCCTCGTGGTTATGTATAGAATCATTTACATTCACGAACACAGAGTATATCAGGACTGAAGAGAGAAAGCCAAATTACTTGCGTAACTGTGTTTCTGTAAGCTGCTTACCGTGCTGCTGAATGTTGTCAGATGTGATAAACAGGAGATATTTTCGGTTCTTCTTTTTCTGTTCTGCATACCATTCCTAAGCATCATCTATTAACACATTCGAAAAACAATTCTATTTCTGCTAAACACACATCCTCGTTTATAAAATGCATATCCTATGATGACAACCATTAACGAATCTACCTTAAGTCCATCATAAGTTTGACGTTTAAGATAGGAAACTTGGGATGCTGGGGAAACTTGCATCCCATGTGATCGACAACGGACCTCGACTCGGCCAATGAATTCGCTGATTAGTAATACTGTATGAAGAGTCAACCACAACACAAACTCCTACTTCACAACAACACAAACTCCTACTTAATTTGTACACGACGAAAGTCGTTCTGCGATAACATTACACACACGGCCCAATTGGATAGATTTGCAGGCTTAAGAAAGTGGGCACGATCCCAGCTCCACTTACACTAAAATAGTACCCTTTAAATAACCAGTTAACATAGTGGAAAAAGTAGGATGTTACATAAACAGACATCAACTTTCGTTATACTAGATCCCCCATAAAGAATAGTCGGCGAAGGAAGAACTCTGCCAACAACCTGTAAAGCAGCCTTTATTAATAGGACCACTATGAAACAAACTAGTTGTGCTAATTGGAAGAAAAAACACCTTTGTAAAATTCTTATCGACACTTATGCCGGCAGCTTCAAGAAGAAAATTTCCAGGAGCTATCTTTAACGCTTTCTTCATTACTCCCGTCTGGTTAAGACGATGCAGTGGAAGAGTTGCAGATGCCTTGAATTGTGAGTTTACAACACCCGTTAACTTAGGAAACTCTTAATGTCTCACCCTTATAAGAGCCGCCACATCACTAGGAGTTTGTTGCTGCTGTGTCACTCTTTGCGATGGAGCAACAGCAAGTAGTTCCACTGGGTAATATGTTTGCGGATTGTGCCGTTCTGACACAGTAAACAGTCCAGGGTACCTAGAAATATCGATTACACGCCTATTTTCTTAACAATGACTAAATACTGTGATAAAAAGAGATTACTTACTTACTTTCAAACTTTGATGGCTCGTCCTCACTATACATATATATGCGGACCGCGGCATATTCTCCATCTTTTCGGGGTTGTGCTAGTTTAGCCATTGTGGTTTCCTGGATCCCGAGCTCAGTCTGGCCAAAGTTTGCCCCAAGTGGTCACCACTACAGGCAGTCGCAGCCCTTGTGGATCAGTTGCCACCATGCAACTAGTTTGATACCAGGATGGTGGAGGATCCTGGTATTGGTTTACTCTTAGCTGGGGTTTCCCATGGAAACACTGAACTTCTTGTCAGCTTGGAAGACAACGCCGGTGGGATGAATTCCACCGCTGTACTCGCAGCCCGACACCCAGGAAGACCTCCCAGCCACGATGAGGCGGTAAACCGTTGGGAAGAAAAAAGGAGGGAAAAAAGGAGATGAGCCGTTAGATTCACAAATAAAGGAACTGTACTAGGTAACTGGCATACTTCAATTGAATATTGTATTGTTTCATGTAGTATTGCTCCACTGTGTATTGTTTACCATCTGTAGCTTGAAATCTAGAAACAAAATTTGAAAAATGAACACTTATAGGTAGAGCTATGCGAAAGAACCCAACCTTAACGAACTAGCAGCGGCTGAGATACCTCCGATTGGGAATGTCCTCGTCTTCCCGTATAGGGTCTTCACATATAATCCTTAAATCTTCCAATATAAAGCGATAAGACGACATCATGACACTCACCTTTAACAAGCCGAAGAATGTCTTTCATAACATTCGGTCTGCTGGCAGTCTGGACGGAAAAATTCGATTTGCCGGTCTCATAATCAAAAAATATCGACATTTGCGATATTTTCTCCAGTAAATTTTGCTCGTCTACGTGAAAAGCGCTCTTCGTCACTAAAACGCGTTAAAAAATTAAACCATGAAGCAAATTACGCATAAAATGCGATTTGCTAACCATCTGCAACTACAAATGGACTGCATTTGCCATCATCGCCTTCAAGCACTTTCACACTTTTCGATAATCCAATCCCAACATACTTGCCATCCATGAGCTCTGGGAGCTCATCGTCTCTGAAAACCTAATTATATATATATATACATATATATATATATATATATATATATATATATATATATATGACACCAACATGGTGTGACGTTAGATCTCCCACAAAGAATCTTAGTTTTTAAGTCATCTAACAAAAAACTATCCACCCGTTCTTTTCTTATTTTGCAAACACAAAGGCCTTAAACGTATAGATACCTAAAGCCGAATGCTTGATGGTCAAATAGGTACTGTACCGTAGATCCATATGCGACGAATTTCAACCTGAAATTCTACTGTTTATATATTTATATATTCATATATATTATATGTATATGTACATGAATATGTTCGTGTACATATATATTTATATGTACATGTACATGTATATATATATATATTTACATGTATATGCATATATAAACTAAACCCACGTTTCCAAGTATCCTTCTTGAGAGACAGCGAGGTTTAAAACTTCTAGAATACTTTTGTCACGTTCAATATCACGCACGTTAACAGCCTTCACAATATCGTTCGATGTGACCTTTAACACAAGAACCTCTAGCATTATGAATCCAACCCAAAATTTACAGGACCAACCTGAAAGCTATCAGTAACTTTTTTGATGATAACACGGACTCCTGCATTATCGTCTACACTTGACAAGACGCTGGCAGGTAAGTGGAACTCCTTCTTCTGAACAACCAAGAAAAACAATTCCCAAACAACACCGTTATAGAATCCCATTAAACGATACCTCTCCATCAAATTTCAATTGTACTTGTGCAGAAAATAAAATTGCTGCACGATCGTAAAAGAGGGCACCATCTTTTGTAAACACGTCTGGGTATGATTTGATAAGGTGTTTGTAAACGATCACAGATGAAGCTTTGCGCTCCTGCTCGGGAAAACTGAAAATTCTCTTGCGATGGAAAGGCTCGAAGAAAAGGAAACAATCAATTATAACCACGTCAGAATGTTATGATTGAACACTAAAACCATCACTAGACACATACTCGTCTTTTGTTTGCTTCGTGAGCTCCTTAAGATGTTCGCCACCGTCTTTTCCTTTGTAAACCACGTACATACGCACATCGTATTTGAAAAAAGGTACGTTTGGCTTCAGGGCTGGAAATCGGTCATGAATATATACTAAAAGAACAAATTAGAACGAAAGTATTGAAAACCTACTTAGCTTCGTAAGGTTCGTGAGGAACTCGGATTTGACTCCTCGTTTGCCAGGAGACCTTTTTGCCGGCATTGCAACTGTTTTCACCTGAAGAGCACTTACTCGAAATAAACAGCGCCAAAACGGTGTGTTCCCCCGAAAAAACCACATGACAACGCACAGCACTTTTAACGCATAATGGACGGTGTCCATTCTATACAACTACACGCTGCATACCGAAGTGCTGGTATGAGCTACATAGGGTTCATTTCTTTGCGATAATTTATTTTAACGCACACAACACCTTCCATACATTTATATGTTCTTACGCACTGCTCTTGTCGAGCTGATGCGAGGTCGGTACACG